CTGAGTGCGACCAGTGCTTTCGGGGCCCAGAGCACGCTTGCTACGATGGCTGGTGAAAGAGGCAAAGGACAGGTCTTTCTTTGGAGATTCAAAAGCTGATTATTGCTTCCAAGGCAGTCCAGGGACAACGATGAACTTGTGCTGAGAGCACAGGATTTTATATGGGGGAAAAAAAGGGGTAGATCTGAAGGTCAAGGACCAATGGGGACAGGTAAAAGTTGTGCAGAGGCAGGACAGCCAACCAGGAGAACCAATAGGGTAACAAGAGTGGAACACTGCAGCAAACTGGGACCAATGGGGATCAGGAGAGGGGAGAACATTCCAGGGAATATATAATTATGGTGAACTGAAGGCTGAACTGGAGTGGGGTAACTGTACAAACCAATAGAACTTAAGACGTTTGTGTGCCTGCATAGACCTATGGGAGGGAGGCACTTCTCACCCTAATCTTAGAGGGGTGTTTCTCCTTGCCTGCTTCGGCCTTTCGAGGGCTGGGCTTTATATGCCTAGTGGCAGGCCCTTGGATCTCTACATGGGAGGGGTTGGATTTGAGTTTATTTTATGCTAAGTAGGCACGGAAGTACACAGCACAGGGTCAGATGTGTGGAAAAAGCATAGTGTGGTCTGCACATAGTCCCCTTGATACGTGGAGGGAGGGGAAGAGGAATCCTATAAAATAAGAAGCAATAGAATGGCCACTGCTCTTGGACATTCCAAGGGATCAGTAAAGTTGAAGGAGAGCAGTGTACAGTCAGAGCCTTGTAGCCAAGAAAATGGAACTATGGGATGGATTCTACTGAGGATCCCATTTCCCATTCCTATTTCCCATTAAGAAGTCATGTTGTGGCTGTTTTAAGACTGACAACCAGATAGTTACTCTTTTTGATATGGTAGAACATAAACAGTTCAATATTGAGTTTTCTTGAACCAATTCATTGCTGCAAAAGGAAAGATCAGGAAGCATATAAACATTCTGTATAGTGACAATATCAGATTTTGACAACATATTACAACTATTTGACTTAACAATCTTCCTGCAGAAGACAAGAACCAACTGAGAGCTGTTTTTTTTAAAGCTGTTTTGTCATTGTTAGTTTGGCAGTAAATACTCCAGCAGACATTTGCATAAATGTTATTCAAGACCAGTACTGCATAGCTTCTTGCTGCCTTACCTGTCGATACTGTAGATCACACACTAGGTGATTTGTATTTAAGTTTATGGAAGTAAATGCCTTTTAAATACTTTCCTTCTGATTAAGCTTCTGTAAATATTAAGTGTCACTGGTTTGCTAAAGTATTTATGTTCTGGGAGGATGTTCTCTTAATTGTAATGAATCTTGTTTTCTTGATACTTGTACTCAAAATAGCATTTTCCCCATATCCCCTGCATTAGAAGACCTTATTTTTCCTCCTCTAGTTTGTGTCAGATTTGCATCTTAATATGATTATCTTAAAGCTGTTATTGATAGTTTCACTTTTTTTTTGGTCTTAATTACTTAAAATTTTGCTTGATTCTAACTAATAATTACAAATATTTTTGGTAACTGTGGTGATACTTCCATTGTTAAGAACAATTGGATTTTGATAAGAACAAAATAAATTTGTTTGCAGTTCAATTCAGATAAGGCTGATTATTTTGGCTGTGTTGTAAAAAGAGCCTACAGAGTATTGCAGAAGTTTAAGAATGAAATTCTTCAATCCCTATTCATGCTAAATGATGTTTAACATTTGAGTCTAGCTGATATTAATAAAGGGATGTGGGACTTAGTCCTAAATATTTAATATAAATGGTGAAAAGCATTGGTAGATTACAGGTAAATTTTTTTCTGCAGTTCTCCCATTTCTAGCTTCTGAATCCCCTTCTAAGAGAAGAATTGGTAAATCACTGCACCTGAGGTGATTGTTAAAAGCTTGCTAAATCTGCAAATACGAAGACAGCCACATACACCAAGTTAATGTTTAACTTTAGCTATTATAATGGATTTTCAAGAATACTCTTACACTAAGCCCTGATGTAGAGAGATAGATGTCATTGCCTAAGTTATTACTCATATTTACCTAATTTTTAAATACTAATTCAGTGACTTTTCCTTTGTTTTAGGCCAGTAATTATGCTCCCTTTTTATATTAATGTATACCAAGGGGGGAAAAGGAAAGGAACTTAAGCTGTAAACTGTTTTGACATTTTAAATTAGTAATGTTCTTGTTCAATGTACATCTTGAGGACTATCATCCTAATAAGTGAATATTCCAATTCAGGTTTGTCAGGTTGTACTCTTATGCTTTGTTTCTATTGTGGTTCCAACTAGTTTGTTAGAAGAACCTACTTAAAGTTGTTAATAATTAACTTGCTTATTGACAGTATATCCCCACTGAATTGGAATAATTTCATTAGTTTAGCAGCAAGCTCAAGGTGTGCAAACTATTGCTGGAATTCTCAGCATTTCCTCTTTTTTTCTAAAAAGTTGGAAATACTAGTGAGAGGAAAACTTAAAACATGCTATGTGTTGGGGAAAAAATACCCCTAAAATATCAGGACTGGAACACAGTAGTAATTTTATTCTACTCTTTATTCTCCTTGTAATGTGATGTTACTGTCTTTGTGTAGCATTCAATATTGCACATTTTTCTGTTCCTTTTTATTTCATTTAGAAGTGAACCTGATTTTACTGGTTTTGGCTGGGATAGCATTAACTTCACAGTGGCTGGTATGCAGCTGTCTTTTTGAGTTTGTGCTGAGCACAGGATTGATAGTACAGAGATGCTTTTGAAACTGGTGAGCAGGACTTACAGCCAAGGCCTTTTTTGCTTTCTGTAATGCCACATTGATGAGAAGGCTGGGAGTGCACAGGTTAGGAGGGCACACAAGAGGGACAGCCAGCATGGATTTCAGAGGTGCAGGTCCTGCCTGACCAACCTGGACTTTTATATGACCAGGTGACCCGACTGGCGGACACAGGAAAGGCTGTGGATGTTGTCTATTTGGACTTCAGCAAGGCCTTTGACACTTTCTCCCACAGCACACTCCTGGGGAAGCTGCAGCCCACGGCTGGGACAGGAGCACTCAGTGCTGGGTTAAGAACTGGCTGGATGGCCGGGCCAGAGAGCGCTGGTGAACAGTGCTGCATCCAGCTGGTGGCTGCTCACTAGTGGTGTCCCCCAGGGGTCTGTGTTGAGCCATCCTGTTTTATATTGTTATTGATGATCTGGATGGGGAGATTGAGCAAATTCATCAGCAAATTCACAGGTGTCACCAAATTGGATGCAAGTATGGATCAGCTGTAGGGGAGGTAGGAGGGCTCTGCAGAGGGACCTGGACAGGGTGGATCAATGGGCCGAGTGCAACAAAATGAGGTTTAACAAGGTCAAATGCCAGATCCTGTGCTTTGGCCTCAACAGCCAGTGCTACATTTTGGGGCAGAGTGGCTGAACAGTGGCTAGGCAGAAATGGACCTCAGGGAAGTGACTGACAGCAGCTGAACACGAGCCAGCTGTGCCCAGGTGGCCAAGAAGGCCGATGGCATCCTGGCCTGTACCAGCAATAGTATGGCCAGCAGGACCAGGGCAGGGATTGTCTCCCTGTATTTGGCACTGGTGAGGCCAGTCCTGTGCTGACACCCTCAATTTAAGAAAAATGTTGAGATGCTGGAGTGTGTTAGGAGAAGGGCAGTGGAGCTGATGAAAGGTCTGGAGCACAAATGCTATGAGGCATGGCTGAGGGAGCTAGGGTTGTTTAGCCCGAAAAAGAGGAGGCTCTGGGATGACCTTATCATTCTCTACAACTGCCTGAAAGGAGGGTGTAGCCAGTGGGGATCAGGCTCTTTTTGCAGGCCACCAGTGACATGACAAGAGGACATAATCTTAAGCTGCACCAGGGGAGGTCCAGGGGACATTAGGAAGAATTTCTTCACAGAAGGATTGACTCCACATTGGAATGGGCTGCCCAGGAAGGTGGTGGAGTCACTTAAACACTTAAACCAGTGTTTAAGATTCAAGACTGGGTGTGGCATTTAGTGTGATGGCCTAGCTGACACCATGGTGTTTGGTGATAGATTGGGCTTGATGATCTCAAAGGCCTTTTTCAGCCTAGTTAATTCTGTGTGGTTCTATGGTTCAGGTGACGCAAACTGACCAAAGGGATATTCCATATGATGTCATGCTCAGTATATAAAGTGGGGGGAAGAAGGAAGAAGGGGAGAACATTCAGAGTGACAGCATTTGTCTTTCCATGTGTCCATTATATGTGATGGGGCCCTGTTTGCTTGGAGATAGCTGAGCACCTGCCTGCCCATGGGAAGCAGTGAGTTGATTCTTTGTTTTACTTTGCTTGTTTGTACAGCTTATGTTTTCCCAATTGAATCCCCTTTATCTCAACCCACAAATTTTCTAGCTTTTACCATTCCAATTCCCTCCCTGATCCTTCCAGCATGAGAATGAGTGAATGGCTGCATGGGGCTTATCTGTCAGCTGGGGTTAAACCACAAGAGTCTCTTTTGGTGCCCAATGTAGTGCACAAAGGGTTGAGATCAGGAGATACCTGACCAGAGTGTGTTAGAATAAAATTGTTACAAACATTTATTATACTGGTTTAATAGTTGCTGGTTAGAATGTAGATTTATTTGCTCTCATACTGCTGGTATTTTGTCTATACTATAAAAATAATTCCTTACTTGAATTACATGTTCTGTGTAGTCTATTTTATGGAATGGGCTTATCATATGATAGTGTCGCTGGTCACCAGTCTGGTGTGTCTATATTCAAGACTGCAGGCACCTTTGTGCTTTGGGTGTCACCTACTGGGAGCAATTATTAATCACATCTTTGTGTTTTTGGTTCCTCAGAGGAACAGCCTATGAGGGAGACACCTTCCTATGTATTTTTCTTATCCTTTATTTTTTCTTCCTTGTCTTCCAGGCTGGTAGTCAGGATTTTAAAGATTTTTGAATATCCTTTGACTGCTCTTGAAACCAACCTGGGTTTTTTTTTTTTTTTTTTGCTAGGAGCCAGCATGTTGTTGCACATGGTTCAAGTCTTGTTTAAGGTCAGACTAATAACGTAACATCTGCCCAATGGCAAGGTGTTTGGGTTGTATGAGCCACTACCTAGAGCACCTTCAGTATGCTTACACCTTACTCCTGAACAAGTGCAGAATCCAGAAAAATTAGTAAAATACTGAAAAAAGTTGTTCTGTCACTGTGTTCAACACTGCTTGGTACCTCCAGGAGGAAAAGGTCTCTAAATATGACAATGAGATGACAACAGGCCCTGCAGCTGCTCCAGCCACCTGAAGACACTGTGACTGCTCCACTGCCACTGGAACCACTGAAGCAGCATGGTCTGGTAGCAGTGGACCCTGCACAAAAGTAGAAGAAATGTACATGAAAATTACCCTGTCAAAATGCTTTAGCAAAAACAGTCAAGGACAAGGAGAGTGAAGATGATGAAGCAGAACCATCACAAGGGTGATTCTTCAGAGCCATTATCAAGGCCATCACAGGAACCAGAAGAGGAGACAGAAGAGACATGACTTGATCCCTATGCCTGAGTGTGCTATGTGAGGCACAAGAAGATTTCAGCAATCATCCATGAGTGTATTACTGCCTGTCTAGTCTGCTGGTGGGACAGTGGAGCCAACAGTGTGGAATGAGAGGGTAAGTAGCCAGGCTGAGATCAATTGCTAAGGACCCAGACACTGACAAAGTAATGGGGAAAAAGACAAGTCTTTATTCTCTGGAGGCGATTCTTATCAAGTGTGAGGAGGAAAGATATCCCTATAAAGATGATATTCCATGTAATTTAGGCAGATGGACTGCAGCAGAAAAAGTGACTCACTTCCTAAGGGAATTAGCTGTTCAAGAAATTAATTATTTTGATGTGGACAATGTCCTGGTCCACATTAATCCAGACCATGTCTTGTGTCAGTTACCCATGTTGCAGAAATTTCTACAGAGTGCTGCAAGGGTACATGAAACCCTTTGACAGCAGTAATTTGGAAAGATGATGCATAAACAACAGCAGATGATGCAATTTGGCAACTCAGGTAATATGAAGACAGTATTACTTCCTCCATCACAGCATCTGTGGAGAAGCTAACCGATGAGCTGACTCAGGAGCTCCAGCAATTCAGAGGGAATGTGTCATACTCCCTATCTGTGTGGGCCTGTATTTCAGTAACTGAAAGCAGGTATCCTCTTCCTTTGAGAGAGAGGATATAGAAAATACACATCACAGGGTACCTATGGTTTTACCTGCAGGACCATGGAGATGATACAAGGAAATGGGATGGATTGAAATACCTCAATTGTAGATGCACTGGTGAGGGAATTGCAGGAAAAAATAACCATAATTGGAAGTTGTTGCTCCAGTCTTCAGTGAACAGTTTTTCAGGCAGACTGAAAGGTCCAATCATACTACTAAATCTATGTAGAGAAGCAGAAGTCCATTTCTGCAAGGCATTAGTGGGGAACATTGTGACCAGTTGGAGGGGCCCTGCCTCCACCTGGGCGTAGGGGGGAAGGGGGAGAGAAATAACCAAGTTATTGGACTGCGTGGGTTTGATGGCCTTGCACAGGAGCCCCACAGCAGTACAAGGCTTCAGTAGACACTGGTGCACAATGTACCCTAATGTCATCAAACTGCATAGGGATGGAATCCATTTGGATTTCTGGAGTGACAGAGGGATCCAAACAGCTGACTATATTGGAAACTGAGACTAACCCGACTGGCATGAGTGGCAGAAATACTCCATCTTGACAGAAGCAGAGGCTCCATTCATCCTTGGCATAGACTATCTCAGGAGAGGATATCTCAAGTATTCAAAAGGCTCTTGATGGGTTTTTGGTATACCTGCCCTGTAGATGGAAGAAATTTCAGACATCCCTTTTATTCTGGGGCTGGAGAACAACAGGTGCCACTTGCTACCACAACAATGCACCAGAAGCAGTGTCTCACAATCTACTCTGTAATTCCCATTTATAAACTAATTTGTTGCCTAGAGCCAAGGAGTGATCAGCAAGACCTGCTTAGCCTTTAACAGCCCTTTATGGCCAGTATGAAAGTCCAGTGGAGAGGGGAGGCTAATTGTAAACTGCGGCCTGAATGAAGTCACACCACCTCTGAGTCCTGAAGTACTGGACGTATTGGAACTTCATACGAGCTGGAGTTAAAAGAAGCCATGTGGTGCCTCAATGAATAATGCTATTGTGTTTTTATCAATCCCTTTGGGATAGAGTGCAGGCCACAGTTTGCTTTTGTGTGGAGCTGTGTCCACAGTACCTGGAATTGACTGCCAGCCAGAAGGAAATACAGCTACTGTATCATCTGACACAAACTGATGAAGGCTGGAACAAGGTAAAGCTCTGGTACACCTGCAGTGTGTTAGTGTCCAGATTGAGAAACAAGATGTTTTCTATTGCCATCTGTGTAGCAGTTGTCCTCTGGGCAGTTTTCCTTACCTCCTGTTAATGGGCCCATCAGTGTCTCCCCACATGACTCAGAGTTAACTCCCTCCAGAGCCAGTTCTGTTTAACAGGTGATCAAGGACACACTGCATGACACAATGACATCAGTGAGATGCTCTGCCTGGGGGGAGGAGCTAAGCATCCCCACCTAGATATAGCCTGGCGTTTTGGGACAGAGCAGTCAGCCTTCCCACAGGTTTTCAAGAAGACACACCTGAGGTTTTCCACTTGACTGACTACGCCTTTTCTACAGGACCACTGCCCCAACAGAACCACATCTGCCACTCCAGGAGGACTGCAGACACTCCAATTTAGACTGCTACCAACACGCTGGCCAAAAAGGTGTCCAGTTGAATTCTGACTTTTGACAGTGGTTTTCCTTTTATATTATTGCATGTATTTTGTTTCTTTTCTCTTTTCCCAATAAACTGTATTTCTGACTTAGAGTCTCTCACTAGTTTTGCTTTCAAACCATAACAGTTAGTCATAGTGTTTTGTGAGAGAATACAGCAAAAGAAGTTTTTTAGAAAGGGAAGCAAATAATCCAGTCCTTTTAAAAGCTGATTTTGCCATAAAACAATAAGGTAAAGGGACCTACAGAGATCCACCTTTTAGGAATCAAATGTCAAGATGGACATTGTCAGATCCCAGTGGTTTTTATTAAAATAATAGTGATGCCTCCACCAACTAACAAGAAAAAGACACAAGACTTTCTAGGTGTTGTGGGATTTTGGAGAATGCACATTCCAACTTGCAGTCTGATTGTAAGTCCTCTCTATAAAGTTACCTGGAAGAAGAAAGATTTCAAATAACCCTCTGAGGAGCAACAAGCCATTGAGCAAATCAAATGATGTAGCCTTCAGGCCAGTCTGAACAGGGGCAGATGTAAAAAATATGCTTTTTATTGTAGCTGAAGAGAATGGACCTACCTGGACCCTCTGGCAGAAAGCACCAGGGGAATTTTGAGGGTGACCTCTAAGTTTTTGGAGCTGAGCATACAGAGGATCTGAAGTCCACTATATTCTAACTGAAAAGGAGATACTGGCAGCTTTCAAAGATGATTGGTACTGACACACAGCTTCTGACACCACAGTTACCTGCGTTGAGTTGAATACTCAAAGGGACGGTCTCCTCTACACATCATGCAGCAGATGCAGTATGGAGTAAAGGAGGTGCATTGATCACATTAAGAGTTTGGATAGGAAACCCATGTCATCCAGTAAAATTAGAATTAATCATGGACTGGCCAGAAGGCAAAGATTTTTGGAATATCACCAGGCTTGTGCTGAATAAGCCCCACTGTATAATAAATTCCCAGAAACTGAGAAGCAATATGCCTTGTTAACTGATGAATCCTTCTGTCTTGTGGGAAAGCAGCCGTATGGAGTCCCCTATGACAAGTCACAGAAATTGCTGGAGGAGAACATGAATTGAGTCAATATGCAGAGATGAAAGCCATCTAAATGGCCTTAGACATTGCTGAAGAAGAGAAATGGCCAATTTTTTTTTTTTTTTTTTTTTTTTACATATGTACTGATTCATGGGTGGTGGCTCTGTGGGGTTGGTGGCAGCAATGGAAGCAGAATAACTGGCAACCTAGGGGTAAACCCATCTGGGCTGCTAAGTTGTGGCAAAACATCACTGCCTGGTTGGAAAGGTGTCTTGAATTGAAATGACAGGTGTCTGCTGAGGAAGGCAGGAGCCTCTCTTGAAATAGAAAATGTAAACCCCCTCCTTCTGAATTATTATAAGTTTAAAATTAAGGGGCTTTCAGGAAAAGATATGAGAGTAAGAATAGCAGTTCTTTACTAGGAAAAAGAAAAAACCACAAAAATAAAAAGGCAGTAATAAAAAACAACACTGACAGAGTCAGAATATGACCTGACACCCTGTGGGTCAGGGTGTTGGTTGCAGTCTGATTAAATGGTGGATGCAGTCCTCCTGGAGTGACAGATGTGTTTCTGTTGAAGTAGTGGTGCTGTAGAAGGCTGTAGGTTTCCTTTGAAAGTCCTGTGGTGGTGTAGATGAGCCTGGTCTTCCTCTGGGAATACAGTGGGAAAAGGCTGCCTGTGGTGTTCCAAATCTCAGATTTTATCCAAGTAGGAATGCTTGGTTTCTCCCCCTGGGTAGAGCATGTCACAATGGGATGATGTGATTTTTATCAGTCATGCAGTGAGACTCAAAGGCCCATTAACAGAAGATATCTTTCTGGAGGGAAGATGGGTTGTGGAAGAGATAAAAAAAAAATAAACTCTGCATAGACATGCCAGCAAAGATAACAAAGTTGCTTCTAAGTCAGTAACTGTCTTCTGACTATTCTGCTACCAAGTTATGAATCGGAGTTGAAACAAATCCTTTTGGTTACATTCTTCTGCTGCAGGATGTCGGAAAACAATAGAAAATATACATGAAGAGTAATGAAACAGGAATGAGGAATTCTCTGGTAGAGAATATAATTCACTTACCAGAATAACAGTTTGAGAAAACTGGCTACCCAAATTTTATTCCTGAAGTGGCAGAGTAACTTCATAAGCATGCTTGATGCAGGAAACAGTAAATACATTAACTTAAGGAATACTGTTTGCATTGTCTGCAGACTTTGGTCATATATAGGCAACATCAGGGGAACTCGTCTGTAATAGAGGGGAAAACCATGATAGCCAGGTGCTGGAGAGACATGCTGCTTACTCATTTAACTGGGAAAATACAGTTTTGTAATGATGCCAGATTGTGTAAGGACACTGGTTTATGGGATCAGTTTGCAAATACTGATATATAGTGTGGTGATGCTTGAGTTGGTGGTGTGCTGGGATTTGGGAGCCTGATGGCAAACCATCCACACCTGCAGCTAAAACGCTGTCATGTCCATGGGTGCTATAATGAAATAAAGATTAGCTTTTCTGTCCAGGGGAAGTTCCAGCAGTTTCTGATTGCAGAGTAGGAAGTGTGCAGATTTACAACATACAAGTACAGAGAACATATTTCTGTTCACTAAGATGAGGCTTAGTAAAGCAGTTGAAAACAAAACATTGCTTTTACATCTAGACCCTTGCTTTAGGAGAAGTGCTACAGTGGTGGAGTACTGTAATACTACTTCTCTGCTATTGCTTCTCACATGAGAATAATACTCTTTTGAGGCTGAACACCAGTACTTTGAAACTAAGTGTTTCAGGCAGTCATGAGCTGTTAAATTACCTGGAGTTACCAGTGGTCTGCGCTTCCGCAGATTGTTTTACATGTCTTGCTTGCCACTCTCTTGACTTCAGATCACTGTTCATATTCTCCATAGTCTGTGAAGCAGAAAATTGCCTCATATGGGATTTTTCTGTTCCCAAAGTTGACAGTTGACTTTTGGCCCATCACAAAGTTAGTAAGCATGCCTGCAAGGGGGAGAGGACCAAAAGGTCAATTTGTTCTCTGTAATTTTGAAGATTCCACACACCTTAGTACTGACCCTGGCATTTGTTTGAGAAGAGACCTGGAACAGGCCACTGCTTCAGTGCTAGTCACAAAATAATTGTAGTGTGCAAGTATGAAAAAATAAAAACTCATTCTTTGTTTCTAGTAGATATGAACTTCAGTTACTGATGTGCTGGTGGATTTTTTTATTTTGCCACTAAAGACAACTAGTATCAATTTGGTATTTAAAGGAAAGAAAAATTACCTCCCCCACTCTCCCACCTCTTTTTTTTTACCTTCTTGAAAAACTTCTGAAAGCAACTAACCCATTTGCAGAACAAATGGAATGAGTAATCCAACTAGGTATGGACCAAGTGAAATACTTCCATTAGACACAAATGTGAAAAGAAAATATAAAAGCATAGGAACACACAGGCGGTAGGGATGATATGTTAGTAAGGGACTAACTCAGGTCCTTGCATGTGTACAAGGAAGAAAAATCATCAGCCTTTAAATCTAGCTAAAAAATACTTATTTGGAATGTTTTTGCTAGCAGATGGTGTTCTTGGAATTAATTAATAAAAATGAATGGTTAAAAAAATTTTTGATCTTTACGAGCAAAAATTTTGGTCTTTATAACCCATTTTAACATTCTTCTTTGGAGGGCAAAAAAGCCCCCTGTCCAGTCATATTTTCATGTCCACTTCACTCTTTGTTTGTTTTGTGTGTATGTTACTGTTAGATTTAGAGGAGCTGTACTCCTCAGTTGTTCTCTTCTTAAATTCCTCCTTTAGAGTTCTTTACTACTCGTCAGTACTTAAATATTTATCTCATTGACATGATCTGTTGCTTACCACTGCTTAACCGTACTTGGAGAAAGCCCATTATCTAGTTTAAACCTGTTGTTTTAAAGCTGTAGAGAGATTATCTTTTCCAGATCAATCTGTGGATGTTGATGGCTGTGTAGCTTCTAGCTGTATGTCACTCCCATGATTGTCAGTTTGTCCCCACTTTGGCTCATGGAATCATTTGTAAGCACTCCTATTTCTGGCAGAACTGGCCAAAGAATGGGTTGTTGAGATGGCTTCTGCTTAAGCAAGTGCAAGTGCTTTTACTTGAAGTGAATTAGGCCAAACAAAAGCTTTTGGCATAGCTACAGGTTTCTGACAGGACTATTTGTAGTATACCTGTTTGCTGAATGAGGGTCTGTATACTGCTTTTTTTGATAAAAATATTACCTTGTGACCTCTTTCAAAATTCTGATATGAACACAGAGCCTGAAACAGTATTTGTACTGATGGAAAAGATTGAGAGCTTGGATACAATGATAAATTTTGAGAATTTCTCTGCTAAGATTAGGAGGACAAAGTTAGAAACATTGCTTAAATAAGCAGAGGGTGCACTTGTGTAACACAGATAAAATGTTAGGCATATACTTTGGTTTTTAAAAGGTAAATTTTGAAAACAAAATCACCACAACAGACCTTCTGCATTACATAGGGAAAAGACATTTTAAATTTTTTGGTTTATATTAACAGTTTGAGTAAACTAAGAATCTGTTTTTTTAGGGCATCCAAGATGGATCTCAAGTGTGCTCTGGAAGAATGTTCAATGGCACTGAACTTATTTCTAAACAATAAGTTCTCTGAAGCGCTGGAACTACTTCGTCCATGGTGAGATTCTGTTATTTCCTGAAGTTGTTGTTAACAGGCAGTATTTAGTACCTGAAGATTAATTTAAAGCTTTTGAAGACAGTAGTTTTAATTTATTTTCTTTTGTCCAGAAGCATTTCTCCATATTTGTGGTTTTTTAAATTTATCTTTAGGTCATTAAAACAATCTGAAAAACTGTTCATGAAGCACTGAATTGTTATGTTAGACTTGATCGCTCAAGCTGTCTTTCCTCATGCAGAGGGGAGAGGCTGGGGAGCAACACCTTATTCAATGAATCTTCAATCAAATAATTTGCACAATGAAACTGCTTTTGACAATACATAAAATCTGGAACAAAGCTCCAGAATAGTATTTTTGTTATGTTTTATATTATGTTCGAGTCTGGTGTTTATCTTTAAGCTCATCTTTCTATGTTCTGACTATTTTTCTTGTTCCCCTGTTGCTTTTCCCCCACTGAGAAGAAAACTATGACAATGCAGATATAGGGAATAAAGAATATGGAGAAGTTTACAGATGAAACCTGTCTTTATCTGTGACCTCATGGGGAGGCAGTTTGAGTGGCTGATCTTTAGGACTGGGACCTGACTCCCATCCACCATTCTTCTCTTGTCTATGTCTGAAAGGAGCACGTGGTATTGATGGATGCGTTAGCAAAAGGGATATGTAACCCACACTAAGAGAGTGGAGTAATGTTCTCGCTCTGCAGTTTGGTGCTAGTAAGAATGGCTGAAAGTGATGTGTTGGTTGATGTTGCATGAACAAGTTCAAGGACAGCTTTAATTGAAACATCAGAAGGATGCCACAGCTACCAAGTGTTTGCTTTTAGTGCTCTGGAGAGCTTAAGTGAGGAAGGCAGTAGGCCAGAGATATTGTCTCTTAGAATTAGTTATAGTTAGGCTCATTGGAAGATGATATTACTGTTGGAATACCAGGCTCTTTCTTGCTCCAAGGTCAGGGTGAATAAAACTTGGGAGACGTTGTTTTTGAAGTCACATGCTGAAGTTTATTATCCTTATCTATTACAAACTCACGAGATGTGCGCACTCACTAACAAGTCAAGAAAGTGAGCTAAAATGGTGTCTGTTCAAGGCTATTTAAGTCCCAGTTATCCAACAAACAGTTATAGGTTATATTCTCAGATCTGTTATTTTCCTGCTTAATTCTTCTGTCTTCACAAATTAATACAAGTGCCTCTGCATTTAATTTTGTATTGCAATGTAAAGTGTTGCTTAAATGCACAAGATTCATGTTTTCCCTAGGTCCAAAGACAGTATGTACCATGCACTTGGATACAGCACTATTTTAGTTATGCAAGCTGCCATGACCTTTGAACAGCAGGATATACAAATGGGAATTTCTACAATGAAGGAGGCTTTGCAAACCTGCCAAAGGTAAGCCCAAGCAAGCCCAACTGTTATGAGATACTAAACTCAAAAAGTGTTTTTTGTGCAACACCCCAGTTCTCTGTATGCCTTTAAAGCAGACTCTTGTCTGTGTGAGAGTGGTCTAAATTTGTAAAGGTGGAGTAAATCCCACTACACAATTATTACTGGTGAGCATATTTTTCTATGTGGTATTGTGGCAACAACAGACTTGTCCTATGTGGGTATTAATAGCCACTACAGTTAGTTAAATGGTTGTTTCCCTGTGTATACCTACGCATAAACTGACATCACATGATTGAACTCTCTGAGCCATTGACTGCTGTGACTTCTTGTTTTTCTAAAAGTTTAAAGGCCTATATTTTGAATTTTCCCCTCTCAGCATGAAAACAGTCTTCTTTAAAAAGTTGTTTCTAAAGGTTGAACCAATAGTCTAATACAATTAAGCTTCTACTAAGGTTTCTTCTGAAAACAAAGTGGTTTTTTTGTTGTTGTTTTTACGTTTGTTTTTATTGGTTTTTTATTGTTGTTACAAGTGTGTTTAGTTTACCTTAAAATGAAAGATTTTAAGAGCAATTTCTGTTGTTTATATCAGAAATTATCTGGGCTGAATATTTTGCTTCTGGTCTTTCTTTGAACAGAAAAAAAAACCTTGGAAAATGGGTTGTGAAAGCTGAAGCTTTAACAAATCTCTGACAAAAATAGAAATTATTTTTGCTTTGTGGGTGGTTCATCACACTGGTTAGTCTATATTTTATCACAATGATCTCCCAAGAAATGCCAGATATTAATTTAGACATTTAACATCATCATCTTAGCCATGGCAAAAAAGAAAAGAAATGAGAAAACATTATTAGATGCTATCTGAACAAGAGAAGGGGTCAGCAGTTTTTGCATTTTTTTCAGGTGTGCTATCAATTTGCAGTTTCATCTGAACTATTTTGTTTAGTGTGTCTCAAGATTAGATGTCCCTCTAGTCTAGACAGCTGTAGTACAGGATTTCATCTCAGCAGGATATAAACTTTAATTCATGAATACTGTGGTCTAGTGTATTGCAAAACTCATAAAAATGCAAGAGAAAGGCAATTAAATGTTCAAAATTGAAGAATTACCATAACTACATGTACCTTAATTGACTCTTTTCTTGTATGCATTATGTTAATGTGTAGTGTCATAATCTTGTTCTCAGGATCCCACAACTGACCATGCGTAGTGTAAAATGATAAGCTAATGCTTAGTATTTATAAGCCAGTGTCTCCCTGGTTTACAGAGTGCATTCATTTTCTGAATGTAGAATTGTTTCTCTAGCTTCTTCATAAAGCTGAGTTGTTCTTAATTTGTTGTCAATAAATAATTTTTGGAATTAAAACATGTAGAGTTGAGATCTCTTGGAAGTGAAGTGTTTGATTGTTTTGGCACCTTATCTGGCATAAACCACCATAAAATACTGAAGCATTTTTGGTGAAAACAGAAGTCCTTTTCATTTTGTCATTCTAATTCTGAGTGCAAGTTTAAGTAACAGAAAAAAGCAATTAATAAATCTTTGAAGTCCAGTTGAAGTGTCTTTCCCAGCATCAGAGACACCTCTGCAGCTGATGAGTGACAGTGGGGTTGAAGCTGTCATATATTTAGTGTAGATGAATTGAAGTTGCAAGCATGCATTTAATGTTGGATAGGTTCTTTAGCCTAGAGGCATACAAGTCCTTAGACTACTGAAAGAATTGAAACAGTTGACAAATGATAATTTTGCTAAGAATCTCTGTAAATTTTGGTTGGAAACTATTAAGAATTCCAGTAATTAAAGTTTGTGTTGAAATGTATGGCTTTCTTTTCTTCCATTCACAACCTATGTAGATTCAGGAAAAGAAGCACAGTGGTGGAATCCTTGTCCAGTCTAGTTTCTAAACAGCCAGTGGATCAGTTGAGTGAAGGTAAGTAGTTAAATAATACAGTTAAAATAAAAAAAGTGAAAAAAGCTCAAAACTGCCCCTATTAATGTGTACAAATACGCTTAACTCTGTGACTTGACTAGTGTCCTACAGTAATAAACATACAAATGATGTGTATAATCTTTTCTAATTTGAATGCAAAGCTTCAGTGGAAAATTCATTCTAATTTTTTTTTTCTCTGAGCATGCATGAATTAAGAATTGAATGCCTTTCACAACACATTCATTATAGGACTGAAGGGAAATTTCCTTTTTTTGACTTAAGAGAGCTCCCAAAAGTTTAAGAACCATTGATGCGGAGGAGTACATCCTTGTCATTAGTTGCATTGGAATCTGAATATATTAACAAGTTTTGTGCTTGTCTGTTTTGCCTTAAGGTGTTTTGGGAAATGGTATCAGTACATTGTTCATGGCTCTGAAAATGCTGATCTCCTATTTCTGATTCAGGCAGAGTCAAGTATGCATTTTTTTCTAACCTGGCACAAGAATCCTCTTTAATACTTGGACACATCAAACTCACCACGTATGCACTGTACATACAGCAGCCTTGTGCATGTGGCTGGTCTTGCAGCATGGGTGCAGAGCAACTTGTGTCATGTGTGTTAAATCAAATGTACTTTAGTGCTGCATGAAGACAGAAAGTCTGCCTGGGGCTTTCAGTTTGTTAAGCATGACTTGGTGAAAACCTGTCCATAATGTCTCAGTGGATGTTGGAAAAGCCTGAACCTCCATGAGGGTCACTATTCATTTACAGAAATTTCTTGTAAGACATGGAAGGAGGCCTGAAAGGCCAAGTTGCTGTGGGCTGTTAAGCTTAGAATCAATGAAAAGGACAGGAGATCATCTACCAGAATGTCAAGTAGCTTTTGCCATAGACTGAGGACAGCTCTGACAATGTTTTGTCTGAGAAGAAGGGAAATAGAAGAATTCTGTTGGGATTTGCGTGTTATAGCTATTACTCAGCAGTTATTGAAATGGCAACAGCAGAATTTTGCGCTTTTTTTTCCTTTCTTTTCTTTTTCTTTCTTGTCTTGGCAGCATTTTGTTTGTTCCATTGACCCCAAGAAGACAATGTTGACAATGACTTCACTGATAGTAAATAACTTTTCTTTCTTATATAGAGGAAATGCATGCTGAAATCTGCTATGCTGAATGCTTATTGCAGAAAGCAGCTCTCACCTTTGTACAGGTAAAGTCAATTTCTCATTTTGTGTGACAGAGTAATAGAAATAGATTAGTACTTATAAAACATCATTCCAACAGTAGATGTGATATTTAAAGCAAAACCTTTTGCTAGTGAATGTTATTTCATGGCAGTGATTGAAATCTTATGCTGCTCAGCCACTTCTCTCTGTTTGTATGAATAACCAAAGATGATACTCAGATACCAAGGCATTACCCTAAGGTATAAACATACCACCTTTTAAACATACCTGTTGTGTTATACAAGATGGTATGTTTAAATGATTTGCATCGCATTGGACAGTGCCCAGTACCTGTATAAAAATATTTTCAAGTATGAGGAAATGTGTTGTTTGAAAGTGCAAGTAATTTTTTGCATGAATGGGTAGAACGCTTTCCAGCTAACAAAACTTCAGCTGATAGACACATATAATTTCCCGTTCAGTCTTGCTCTAGATCTATGTATGTGGTGTCAGGAATAATACAGTAATGAATGCTTATAAAATGGGCATGCTTAACTTTGCTGAGGTAACAATTCAGCTCACAAAAAGTTCTGATATTTTATACTGTGTGGTGCTAGTGATTTAGGTTGTGGTTCAGGGACTTCATACTATGGAGTTTTCAAATTCAATTTGAAATTTAATTCCTGAAAATAGGAGTTGTTAGTCATAGTTAGGGTATGTGAATGTTTGACGTTTATTTAATATAATTTAGATAATATTTTCCAGTATTAATTATAAGAAAGAAGTGAGGCATATAGATACTAAGGTCAGATTAAGTTCCTTTGGCAAATGCTTATGAACTACTTGATTTGGCCAGAAGTGTCAGGAAATACTATTAATGGAATGCTAGTCTTTCCTGTAACTGGCTTGCTCCTTTACTAACCAAGTGGAAGCAGCCCTCTTTATTTTTATGGGGTGTGTGGGGTCTATGTTAACCATGAAAATAATTTTGAAACAGTTGTTGATGGAGGTGAGTTAGGACAGTATAAAATAATAAAAAAAACCCTTAGATGTATATTTTCTCTGAAACACCACATCTGTATTGCTTTTAACTGTGATACCCCTCTCTGCTGATTGTTGTGCTGCCCCACATTGACTGACCATGATTCATGTTAGGATGATGATGATAACAAAAATGTAAATGCTCAGAGGGAAATAGAATTCTTTTACTGAAACACTTGTATTTGGGTGTTCAAACTTGCAGACAAGAGAGATGAGGTTTTTTGAAATGGTAATCTTAACCGATGCCAGAATTTCCTTTCGTTGATCCTTTTTTTTTGTTGCTTTTTAATTTCCACGTTGTATATACTGTTCCTAAGTATTTAAATTTGCATTTCTGAAGTGCCAGCACATGTTCCCCTTTTATGTGAATTCTAGGAGAAAAAAATTCATCCTGTGGACGGATGTCTTGCTTTCCAGGAATTTTGTTTTGATGGCAAATACATTTTGGCTTTGTTTTGGTTTTTCTATAGGTTAGTAAGCACATAAATTGAATAATACAGGTAGTTACTTTTGATCAGCAGTGGAATTTCATCTGTTCAGGGGATTTTTGAGTTAGTCTGCCAGTTTCTGTACACTTCCTTGTGTATGTCAGAATCGTCATTCCCAAATATTTGAAACGGTTCCTGCAACGCCATCTGGTGGAAAGCTTTCTTGGGTAATTTGTATACCTCGCAAATTCTGCTATAAGTAACACTTTAACTCTCTTTTTCACATCTCTCTTCAGTTTTAAAATTTGTTATGTGCACCAAAGAAATGTTACCCTGACAACTTAGGGCACGTGTTAACGTCAGTCTTAGAGACACATCCAGTGACTGAAAAACATTTTTAGTGTTTCCTATGACATTAACCAATAAATAAATGTAAATGTAGCTGGAGGATTTCTATGTGTATGTTGTATAATATGAATGCACAGTACTTTACAGTTAAATCTTTTTGTTCCAGGATGAAAATATGATCAACTTTATCAGAGGTGGCCTGAAAATCAGGACAAGTTACCAAATATACAAGTAAGCTATTAGAAAACACTTGACTTCAACATTAATATAAACAGTTGCAGTGGCATTAATGCCACCAAAATAAAAATTAATATTTTTGTATCAATCATAGTCACTTCTGTGTTGTTTCCCCTTTCCTCCTTTTCTTCTCCATCAAAAGGGAATGTCATCAGGTGCTACAGGCAACTCAGGGGAACAAAAGCAAAAATGAAACATACTGCCAGTTTGAAGGAGGAGTAAAACTTGGAATTGGAGCATTCAACTTGGTATGACTTCTTCCACAACAGAAAGGCCATTGGGTTGTTCTGTAGGACTGTATTTCTTTGTATATACATTACTGTAACTGATTTAACATTTACACATTTGTAAAATAGAGATACAGGGTTTGGAGGTTTTATGTGATATGAAACCAGCAGCAACTTCTGGCATGCATACTTTCTGGGATGTTTATTATGCAATGTTTCATTCTCTGGGAATAACTAATAGATGAATTTCTGAAATGAAAAAGTAGCTGCATTTACCACTGTGTAACAGGATTTTAAAAGATGCTTACGCTGTAGTTACAGAATGCCTAGAGTGACTGTTTAATTCTAACTCCCCCATGTATCCCATTCTTTTGCTCCAGTGACATACTCTAGATTCACATGGGTAATTATAGTTGGAAGAATGAACAGTAGTTTACTGCGTTTGTGCAAAAGAAAATTGCCTTTTCTTTACAATTTGCTACAGTTCCCTTTTCACATCTGTCATGGCAATGGTGAAAGTTGATTTCTGCCAGTATGTTAATTTCTGTATCATTCTAGATTGGAGATGGCCAATTTTAAATATGGTCAGAAGAACTCAGGTCTATCTGCACCAGACTTTAAAATTCAAGTAACTGTGTTCATAAGTACTCTTACCTCTCCTATTCTTCACGGAGTCTTCTCAGTAGAAGGCTTAACAGAAAAAGTGTCTGATGGGCAAAATGTATTAGGGTGAATGGAGCTATATAAAAAACTGACCCTCAAGTTGATCTGCTTCTTAAAGCTCATTGAAAAGTTGGTTATGGTGTTGGTACATTTTCTGTTGTGTAGGATGTGGAGGATGCAGTTACAGAGGGAACAAAAATGCCTATAATAGAGGGCTAAAGGATGATAGCAACAGCTAGAATTTCTAAAACCACTATGCTCACTGATCTGCTGCTTCAGTGCTCGCACAGGAGGAACAAGTAGAGTGTCTGTGAGACTCCCAGGAAAATGGAATAATGGTATAGGAAGATGGCAGTTATAGGTTGTAAGTAATAATAAAATAGATAAGACTATTGTTCCAAAAGACCCACAATTTTCAAGCAATTCTGACCAGCTGAATATAGAAACATCTGTCATTATCTGAAGAAGCACAGCTGAACTCTGTCTATTTTCATGCTGGATGGACATCAGAATTCTGAACATGCATGTTTACTTTCTAATTCTTTCATGTTTTAATTTTTTACTTATGTGTAATAAGTTTACTTATGTGCATTTAACATAATAGCTGGCCTTTTTTGGTTCAGATTTATAGCAATGTAACTTTTTTTTGAAGTGTGCATGTTTTTAATTATCTTTTTATTTTAAATGTATTTCAGATGCTGTCACTTTTGCCAGGAAGGATCCTTCGACTTTTAGAATTTATTGGATTTTCTGGCAATAGGGTATTTGATTTGATACTTGCTTTTTCAAATTAATTTTTTCTCAGATAAAATACTGGATGGATTTAATGCCATATATTCCACACTTGAAGTATAATACCAACTGTTTATCAGTATTTTAGAGCTGTTAAAAAGATAAATAGGTTAGATGATGCAGGCATAGAAGCACATATGGTGATATACTACTCTTTAACATGCATTGGAAATCACCAGTTTATTTAAAATGAGATTTTGCCAGTGCAATTTCCTTTCCTTTTGCTGATCCTTAAGTTGAGGATATCAGCTTTCTTTTCTTGTTGACATGGTCAGAAATTGACATTCCTCACCAGTAACTGAGGGAAGAATCCTATTTCTACATTTTTCTACCCAAAATCTGAGCCCATTTCTTTGGAAAAAAAATTCTGTATATCATGTGTCACCCTGGAATCTAGATACATCTTTCTCTTGTGGATGAGAAAAATATTTGTAACTTGTTTTTTAAGTAATTTTACAGCTCTTTAAAACTTTTTTCGATGCCCATAAGAAAAGAAAAACCCAAACTAAACTTAGGCAAAAAACTGTAATAAAGTAACCCACAGAACTGTACACAGTTTAACTTCAAGTTATTACTGCTACAGTCACCATATGGTCTTATTACTGTTAGATTGTCCACAATATGGCTCTCCTGCTGTAAAATTAGACTTCAGTAGAGACCTGTTTATTCAGTTTCTTCCCCTGAAAAACCTGGTTCTTGCTGAGGCTCTTCCAAAATACACAATTTTCCATGACTGAAAATGCAGTAAAGGCTGAAAGAAAAAGAAATATCATCACAATTTTTTTGTGTGGTGCTTGAATTGTCCTATAATTCATCAAGTTGCTATGCAATAAAACTGATCTTTTAATATTTGTTTTGAGGCAAAATTATGTTTCTGGGGAGTCATTGCTTTTGATCAGGTAAGCTGTGAGCTCAACGCCACTCAAACAGTCAAGCTGTTATGTAATGGGTCTAAACAGAAACATAAATCTCATATATTAAGATCTGTTTAAGGCTCCATGAATCTGGATCTGTCTTTAGACATTGATGTATATCAGCAGAGGTAATATATTGGTCAGTGCCTCAAGGTAGTGGCTGACTTGATGAAAGAGAATTGAGGATAACCAGGGTTTTCAATGAAAGAATTCTCACACGAACAAGTAGCACTGGAACAGCTGGGAGAGTTTCCCACCAAACATAGGTTGAAGGGTGTTATTCTGAAAGGCTCATAGTCAGAACATAATGGAGAAAGGGTTGTAGACCTGTGTGTCTGCATGGTTCATGTGGTGTTCCCATTTCACCAGAGCACTGAAATGCATGATTTTATTAAGAGTTAGATTAGTCTCCTCCTTCCTGAGTGCTGTTAGCTGTGACAGAAGTGTTTTGGTAGAGGGTTGTGTTGGATTTGAGGTAAGTACTGAATTATTAAATAGTTACATCTGAAAGGAAAGCTGAATTTTGGTTAGCCAGAAAAAATTGGTAGTAACTCTGTATACTCATAGTTAATTCTGCATGTGTTTGTGATATTTCTTAGGAGTTGGGCCTCCACCAACTACGGGAAGGCGCATCTGGCAGCAGTTTGAGGGCCATTCTGTGTACTTTCACCCTGTTGGTTTATCATACTTACGTCTCCTTAATCCTTGGTGAGACCCACTGTGTAGCTTTTTAGTCGTGCTACACCTTATGATAGATATTGTGATATATTTTTATAACTGAGTTTCAAAATTGTGGCCAAATAGGAGTTTGCTGTATACTTAATTATGATTTAAGATTAATATCCATGACATAGATATGTCTGCAGAAACAGTGAGAGTAGATAGCATTATATTAGCATCTTGCTCCATTTTCACGGCTGTCTGAAAAGCAAAATATTGGAAAACATTATTAAGTTCAGAAAAATCATTATCCATAAATTAACAACAGATGCTGTAAAAACTATCTCCAGAAAAAAGCTATACAACCAGAATTAATTGCTGCTTTTGCCGTTTAGAGTTGGAAGTCATAATTAATTCTATATGCTTCTTTATGATATATTTTCACATTTTAATATTTGAGTATTTTAGTATTTGTCCCTCAGGCTCATCAGGAAATTAAGGAGAACTTCATTTCTTCCAGTATCACTCGTATTTCATTACTGAGTTCAAAATTAGGAAAAGAGGCGGCTGAGGAATGTTTTCCTATCTCGCTAAAGCAATTAAAGGGATTTTAAAATATAACTAGGATCAGTAATGGAGCAGCCTAAAAAAATATTTATATAATTCCAATTTGTTTCTACTTACAGACATTTAGTATTTTTAAATAACTTAGTATATTTGGGACAAGAATTTAATTTTATAGAAACAGAGTATGACCAAATAATTCTGAGTTCACATAAAGCAGTCATCCATTGATCTGTCAAATACGATGTGAAAACAAAATCATAGTCCATGAAACTTGGATTCTTTTAAGTACATTGAGATTGGTTTGTAATGTTTTCTAGGTACAGGGGAAGGCAACCTTCAGGAAGCAGACAGCCTCCTCGAACCCTACCTCCAGAAATTCCCAAATGTGCGTATTTCTAATACATTTTATAACAGAAATGTATTTCCCTATGCTCAAACTCCTAACTGGTTATTTTATTCATGTCTTTTCAAGGGTTCCATTATTCTATTTTATGCTGCCAGAATAGATATACTGAAAGGAAATTTTGAAAAGGTAAATCAGGTTTTCTTTCTAAGATTTTTGTTTAGTGTTTAGCCTAAGCACTAATTTAGGAGGAAAAATAATTAATTCATCTACATATCAGTTGGACTGATGAGTATGCTGTTATCTCTGTTCATATTTACTGTCAATGTTGATTCCAGCTGTCTCTCTAAGTGAGACTGAAAGGCAAGTTTATCTTATTTTACTTGTCAGGTATTTTCCAACTGTGTGCTAGGTAAGAACTTGTCCTGTAATTAGACACTGCTCTCACACGGAGCTGTAATTGAGACAGTTTTCATCATTCTTCCTTAACTGCTCACTCATAGGCACAACTGACGTTCCAAGACTGCATAGCAGCCCAGCAAGAGTGGAAACAGATTCATCATCTCTGTTACTGGGAACTGATGTGGTGCTACACCTTCCAGCAGGACTGGCTTCAAGCATATCGGTATGCAGACCTGCTCAGCAAAGAGAGCAGGTGGTCTAAGGTAAATAGGCAGGTGGACATTGTTGTGATATGCCAGTGGTCTCTACGGTTAAAGTTACTTTTCATTTCACACAACAAGTGTAATGTTTGCCTTCCTGAGAAACTCATAAACAAAGACACAATGGGACCAAAATATTTTTACTGGGTGCTTAAGAATGGCTTTTTATTTCATGTTTCAAAGCAGCAGAAGCATAAGCAGCAATGCTTTGGCCCCTCCAAAAATTGGTACTTACCTGGGTTGGGAGAAAGAAGAGGGATAGGAAAACTGCAAACTGTTCTCTCAAGTCAAGTTCTACCATTCACTAGTAAAATTTGGCTGAAGAAACTGTGTTTGGTGCTTATAAACACACACTCCTACTCAGCAGATGCTTTGTGGCACAAAATGAGAAAGGCTGCTGGGGACAGGATCTCACAAGAAAAGCTAGGCTATCAGATAAACTTTTCCTTGTAACAATGTTTTTCAGAGTATGAACCAAGCGCAATGTGCCAATGACCTTTTATACATTATTATTATCTATTCCTCTATAGATTACTGTTTTATTGTCTTAATAAAAAAGGGTATACATCTAATTCTTGGCAAAAGAGGACGAGAATAGTATATTTAACATTAAGTGCAAGTATCTTTAATAGAATTACAGATCTTTTTCCTGCAAAACCGAGTTATTAAACTTTCCTTGAATCAGTACCCAGATATTTCTTTCTGTTTTTTTCAAGCATGTCTCTACATGTAATAGATCATATGATAACAGTAGAAAACTTTTAGATAAGTTAAGTAATTTAACCTCATCTCTTTGACAGTGGTTTGCATAATAAATTCTGCTGTTGTTTGCAGGAGATACCTTTAACTTTCTGACTAATATAAAATATTAATATAAATACATAAAAAATAAAATTACAGCATAAACTATGTGACAAAGGGAATACTGAACTTTTATAGTTATATCTGCCTGAGAATTATGGAAATACTTTGCTGTAGCAATTGGAGGGAGAGATTTCAGTCTTTAATGTATTGATGAAACAAAATTAGATGTGGTAATCTGTTGCTGTTTCTTTTTGAAATAGGCAATATATGTATTCCAGAAGGCAGCAATTCTGTGTATGCTTCCAGAGGATGATTTGAAGAGGACTGGTGAGGACATAGTGTCTTTATTCAGGTAAACTTTTATAAAGCAGCTGAACGTGCACTCTTTCTCCTCTTATGTCTTTATCTTGTTTATAACCATGATATGCCCCATGTTTATAACCATAAACTTTCCATTTTTTCTCTTTGCCTTTAGCATTAGAATTGCTTTTATCAGCAAAGATATATCCTACACCTCTGGTCTTCATGGCGCAAAACAATTTAAAGATGTTATATTTCAGAGGAAAACAGTAAATCTTTCTAACTGAAATGAGATGAAAAAAAAAACAATAAACAACTTATTTTTTCCCATTTTCCTTTCTTGTAGACAAGTGGATGGTCTAAAACAGAGAATTGCAGGAAAATCTATCCCGACTGAGAAGTTTGCAGTAAGGAAAGCTCGACGCTATGCATGTCCTCAGCCAGTGAAGCTGATCTTACCTGCCTTGGTATTTGTTCTTGCTTTGTTTTCATTCTTTTCAAGGAGAAAAGAAATCAGAATAGCTCATTGTACAGGGAAGGAATAATATTGTCAGGTATTATATGCTTGCATTTTAAATTTTTAAAGGACATATTGCATTAATATGATGTGATTTTGGTGAAAAGTGTTAGGGACTGGATCATACTACCAACTAAGCAGCAGTCTGAAACAAACGACTTATTTTTCATGTGAAAAGGTCAGCATACAGAAAACTACATCCTTTAGGTTGGCAGGATTTTAGTCCTTGTCTCCTAGACTCATTAGGAAGTTGAAGAGTACTTTGGTACTTTCTTTTATTGATGAAAATGAAGAGTGGTGGTCAGTTTTTGTTGTGATTTTTTATTCCCCTTGTATTGAATCTGATTAAAACATGCAGAAGTATTTCACAGTCTGTTTCTATGTGCACTTTTCATATGTGTATGCTAAAATGCATAATTTACCAACAACATGAAAAACCTAATTCAAGAAGAAATTTCTTACGTTAAAGTTCATTGATATAGAAAGAGGAGTCCAAAGAAAATTAATCCACAGGTTCTAAAATTAATTCTATATTAAATTCCATGTAGAGGACTAAGCAAAATTTGTCTTGGGCTTATACAGCAGAGTGCTTCTAAGTTGTGAGTATATATATTTGGTCTTGCTGTCGAATCAAGTATCTAATGTTGTAATTTAGGAATTTTTTCATCATGGACTGAGCATAACCAAACATCATGTATGGTTTATTTCAGTATGTATAAGTTAGACATGACTGCAGAATTGAAACAAATCTAGCATGATGTAGTTGATGATGTTAATAACACTGTTTCAGACTTTGATACAACAAGATTTTTTTCTCGGTCTGAAAAGGTACATATTTACAGTATAAATGCAAGTGGAAATACTTCACCATTGTATTGTATCAGCTTCAGAATGACATTAGGCTTCATATTTCAGAGGTGTAATTTCAATTATGGTAGAACAAGTGTACTCTAGTTTGTAATGACTGAGTAAAGCTCTTGGCAAAGTTACTTGTTAGCATTGTTGGTTAGCATCCTTGTTGGTTAATGCATTGTCCTCAAGTTTTACAATGTGATGCTGTATCAAAACAAGATTTTTGCTTACTGTTGTACTGAGGCATCTGGGAGGGCATGTTTCCAAGATTTGCCTTGTTTTTTTTCCAGCAAAATTTTGTAGAAATGATACTCAGATAATGGATATGCCTGCCAGAATCACATTTTTATCTAGAAAGTTGTATCTACTTGCAGTTTTGCTGTTGATTAGAGTGTATATATATATATATATATATAAAAACACCAGAGCATGTTTTTGGGTGCATACTTACATAAGTATACTGTATATACAAGCACACACTCAAATGCACTTCAAATTTATGTATCATCCTTTAGACAGATACTACTTTTAGCTCCTTCTTTAGTTTAGGCAGCAGAGGCCACAAGTTGAATATAATGCATCCAGTTTTGCTGATGTGTTATATGAGTGATGGTAAACTGTCCTGATAAAATCTGTTCAGTTTAATTTCTGAATATCTGTGAAAATATATCATAGTAGAATCCATTAAAAAGGCATCAAAACACTGAAATCTTAAAAACCTATATGTTAACTTTCTCAACACACGTTCAATGTAATTTTTCCTTTCCTATTCATAGATATGTTGTACCAAAACAAACTTTGGTAGTGTACTCAAAAATGTTCCACAGCAGCCTTTTCAGAGGCACTCTTTAGTTAAATATTTATGCAATTCCTTGAGTTTTTCTCACCTTTTTGTTTTGGTTGGCAATTGGTTTTGGTTTTTTTTTTTATTTTTGATCAGGAAATGATGTATGTCTGGAATGGATTTGCAGTTGTGGGCAAAAGAGCAGACCTCACTGATAACTTACTGGTAACAATTGAAAAAGAAGAAACCGCTCTACAAAATGAAACTAGTAAGTAATCAATTAAGATGGAATGAATACTCTTGTAAGGAATGCTGATACTTTTCTATGCTTTTGTCTTCTGATATTCTGCGAGGTGAATGTTGGCTTTGACAATGATTTAATTAAGTCTAAGTATGGAAATTTTGTAGCCTCATGAAAGTTAGGAGTGGTTCTTCTATACGTTCTTTATGTAGTGTGATTGATGCTGCAGACGAATACAGAAAACTCAGGGAGATGATGTTATTAGTTACAGAACACGACTGGTCTAGGTTAGTTTTTCTTGTCTTTGAGAGTGTTCTTGGACCATAATCTGCTAATGTCTTAAATGTCTGAAATCTGCTAATGTCTTAAATGTCAGAAAATGTCTTTTTCTTAACCAATTTATATCATGCTTTATTGCATAGGACACATGCTGCATAGAATATGGCAAAGTATAAAAGATACGATGAAGTGCTATGCATGAATGATCTTTTTTGGTTTACTTTCTGGCAAAATAAAACATGTTTGCTAGTTGTAAAATGAAACATACTTAACAAATAGACTTTGACCGTGGTTTTACATCTTGGAGTAATTTTTAGAGAATCAGCCCATAATTTACTCCTAAAAGAATTTAAATTCATTTATTATAACTGGTTTACTGCACAAGTACTTGATTTTTATAATATTTTTTCAGGGTGGTTCTTTCACCTTTAAAGTGAATTTTTGGGGAGAATTCTCTTTTGAGTTTTTCTAGAATTAAATATTTAGCATGTGAAACTTTTAAAATTATAATTAACTAAAATAATTTCTATTGAACCCAGATTCTAGTTACACTTACGAACAATTTAGCAGTGGTTAAAACAGCACTTCTGAAACATAATATGTATATAAGTATGATTTACAGTGTAAATTGACACAATGCATAAGAAATTATACAGGGACATGCAAGAAATATATAATGGTCAAATCTGGATGATATAATAAACCAAATGAGAGTAACCTGTATGGCCATGTTTGAAATGAGTTTCTTTATTTTCTATGTTGCCCTTCACTTTTCTGCAGAATCAGTAGCATGCCTCTTAAATCTCAAGCATTTTCCTTTTTTCTTGTTGTCGTATTAAAACAAAAGTGTAGCGATATGCAAGATATTTGAAAATAAACTAATTCCTGTGAGCTCCACAATCAGGGCTTTGGCAGAACCTGTTGGAAATCCAGTGCTGTATTGTGCAGAGATTTGTACTAGAAATGCTCATCAGTTATAACAGTGAAGTAAATTTCCTATTGAATCACTGAGTAAAGACATATAAGGTACCAAAATTAAAGCAATGGAATAAAAGCACTCTGTTTTATTTATGGAAATTCAATGTTTGCAAATAGAATATAGTCTGAAAGTGCATATAATTTCTGTGTTGTTTTTTTGGTAATAACTTCAGTTACATATAATTTTATTCTGGACATCACATATGTGATTTTGATCTGCTTTTAAAGATACAGAATCGGTGAAAATAAAGACTTTGATTATCAGAGTTGCTGCTGCATCCCTACAAAAAAACGAGATTAAGGCTGCAAGCAGAGTGTAAGAAGGTTACAATGTAATTTTAAGAGACAGTGTTTAGTGGTAGTAATATCAAAGGATTGCAAAAGTGCTGTGAAAAAAGGGTGTTGATTATACATAAAGGACACATAGGAATTGAGACTTAATAGAACTGTTTTTATTTCATTTGCTTCATATGAACAGGCACAGCATGGAATCTCTCAAGGACTGAATGAGATGATAGAAGAAACAAATGGAAGACATTAGAGATGGGGTTTTTATTTTTTTTTCCCAAAAGGATTTCTGGGAATCTTTTTAATTTAATTTCCAATATATAAAAAAAGAATATTTGACTTCAAGAAAAAATAATTTTTGTTTGTTTTTTTGTCCTGGTAATGTTACTTCCTTTGGTGTAGACCACTGCAGGTGCAAAGATGGTTGTCCCACATTTATTGCAAGGTTATCTGTATTAAATTGGCCTGTGCATTTGTAGTTTGTGCATTTAGTGTTAATGTTTTGGCATAATAGCCTTTATTCTTTTGGGAAATAAAAGTACTAGTTGAAGTTGGTAAAGACTGGCAAGCCTTTACTGACATCAGTGCATGCCTCCAGTAATTTAAATGATTGAGTCCTTCAGGAGACAGTCACAGAATCCAGTACGTTAGCCTAGCAAAAAACAGGCTAGAGAGAATGCAAAGTACTCATGCGCTGCACTTCTACTATCACTAAAAGCACAGTCTGTCAGTTACAATCTATCAAGACTTTCTGGGTTTAAACACAGACAGAAATAAGGCTGAACATGGTGGCAAAGCACTTTGCTGAATCCTAAAATGCGTTTGTCTTGCATGTTTCAGAACTGTTTACGTAGGATTTCTTTGGCAGACTATTAAGGAAAAAATTAATGTGACCTTAGAGAGCTGGTAATTAGTTGTAAACAACATGATCTGAAGGGAGAGTGTTTTGCTTCCTGAATTGTTAATGTATGTGGTGCCATCTGTCTATCCATATGTGTTTTCCTTCCTTTCTTTTCCTTCCTTGTACCCAGCAAATGCTACAAACTAAGGGAACTAAAAAGGATCACACTTGTTAAGTAAATTTTGAATTGAATCAATTACCCTCTTTCATCTGGTATTTCTAGTCCTATTGAACATAAAACTTTCATTATAGTTTTTTAAATATTATACACTACTACTTATTTTCAAATATTTTTCAAATATTATACACTACTACTGAGGTTTCTCAAACATTAGAGATGATGAAAACACTAGGAAACATGCTTTCTTGAATTTGTACTGCAAAATGATGCTTCTGAAGTGTTCTGTTAGAGAGTCGTGGTGTGGTTTAACAGGTTTTTTATGCTACTTATGCTTCTGGAGGTCTGCCAGTGCTCTGTAGCAGGGAAGCTGTTAAGATAATATGATGGTTTCTGTCTCACTGTAGTTTTAGCTATTGCAAGTAAGAAATCGTTAATTAATGACTGTTTATGTAATGTAAGTTATTTAATTAATGACTGTTTAATCTTCAGTTAATGATGTTTATGCCTATTTGTTGGATGTTTCAATTCCTTCTTATTTCTTCTTTGCCTGTCTTGTAAGAAAAAGATTTAGATGTCATGGACACATCTACTTTAGTAGACAGTATTTTAAGTCATGCCTGAAGGTTATGTACATTTTGAAATTTAGAATATATGAAATAACATCCTATGTCTGAATACATATTCCCTGTTGAAAATCAAATTTTTCTTTTCATGATGTCTTCAAATTGTTTGACATATCTCTCTTTTACTGTTAGATCACAATGAATACTATGTGGACGATATGTGCATGTTGCAGCTACTGAAAGGCCTTTGTCTGAAACACTTGGGAAGACTGATGCAAGCTGAACTGTGTTTCAGCAAAGTAATTCAAAGGTAAAAAAATAACAGAAATAGATTTTATAGCTCTTGGTGACATTTTTGATATTCCTGTTGCAGCTGTCATGTTAGAATTTTGACTAATTAAACATTGTGTTAAGGACCTGGAATTAAAATACATCTGAAAGTAATTAGAAAACCAGAAAACTGCTGGTATTTTTCTGTAACAATTTAACATTTACTATAGCTTTATATATGTGGTGTTTGAGGCTAAATAAATCTAACTGGTAGGTAACATACCCAAATACATTTGTAATTGTATTTGCAGAGCTACCTTTATAAGGACAATTCAGATAGGTGTCCTGTTTGTTTGGTTTATTTTTTTTACTCAGTATTTAGTACTTCAGTAGTTAAAGCTCCTCCATGTAGATGAGAAGTTGTTACATATTTCAGCTGAAGACTGGTTTCTCCTGTCTTACAGATTTTCAGGTGTCAAGCTCCATATCAGCTGTAATAGCTTTTCTTTATAAAACACGAGTCAGGTACTGGTTGTAGTTGAAAACTTCTTACAAGATTTTAGGTATTTGGACTGAAGAAGCATACTTACATGTGCAATGTTTCTAACAAGTGATTTAGAAAAATTAATAATTGATAATAAAATTGGTTATTGAGAATTATGTGTGTTTTAGTTCTCTTGCCATCTTGTTTTCTCTTACCATTTCTAAGATCCCATGTGAGTTTACTCAAGCACATTGCAAGTTACAGGGCAGAGGGGTTTGATTCATTACAAGTTAAAGGAACACCATTTCTGAAACATCTTTTTCCAAAGGTAGTTGGCAGCAAGCAGGCTTTTATAGCTGAGAGACCTTAAAAAAATCTAAAGACAGCAGTTCTTCATAAACTGTATGTTTTGCATGGGTAAGAGTAAAAGTTTGCTGGTGCATGGATTACCTACATTTTGTTCAATTTTATTTTCTACATGTTTAGGGCTGCTTTGGTGCTTTAAGACTGTTTATCAATGTGTACAGAATTAACCAGTAAAAAAGGCTTCAGAATGTTTTTTCTGGATATGTACTGTTACAGGCAGTGATTTTTCTGGCTATGTGCTGTTATAGGCAGTCACTGCTTTTAAACTTCTAACTAGTCACTCAAGACAGGGTTGCAAGTAACCATTTCTGTATTTTTATGGTATTCTAGTGAGAAGCAAATAAAATATGACAGTTACTTGGTGCCATTCACGCTGTATGAATTGGGTCTTCTGTACAAACAACAGGATGAGAGAGAAAAAGCAATAAGATACATAGAAACTGCAAAGTAAGTGGATTTTATCATTTTGTAAATCAAGAATAACTGTATATTTGAAGCAATGAGGACACTTGTTTTTTCTTCCTGACAGCTTCTTTGCAAAATCCAAGTAATTATAAATCTCTGTTCTTGATTTGCAGGACTTGTCCAATATAGTTGAATTTTGCAGTTAAGACACTGTATGAAGGAAAAATGTTTCCTTTTGTAAGGGCTGAGGGTCCACTGCATGCATGGGATGAAGCTGGAGAGTCCAGGGAAGGGATATGTACTATTCTGTCCCAGAGGGCAGCTGTGGGAATTAAATCAGTTGCACTAAAGGTGTCCATAAGAGAAGGTCAAAAGCTAGTACACCAGTCTGACCACACCCCTTTTTCCTTTCACATTGTGTTGTAGAAGACCAGTTGAGAGTTTAATTTACTGTAGAGGAGCATATTTGCATCATCTGTAGATTGTAGTATAACAGAATGTGCCTTGTCTTTATAGGGAAGTTGCCCAGTCTTGTAATAGTGTCCCCTCATGGGGTTTTATTTGTTTGTTTTGGGGTAATGGGATTTACAGAATACAATTTATGATGTTTACTACTCTGGCTGAATTGTGTTCTGAGTTGAAGCATACATTTTCTACTAACACCTGTTGTATTTTCTGTAGTATTTTGGCTTGTCTCTTCACAGCAAATTTCAGTAATTGGGAGGGCTGTTAAAGGATCAAAATAAAAGAAAGAGATGCTAAGACACAGGTTCAGTTTATCAGGACATTAATTTTAGTACTGGTCTAAGTTTTCTTTGCTCAATTTGTGGATGTAGTTTTAAATGTCTCATAACTCATCTGTGTGTCAGTTTCTGCTTCCTGTTGAAGGAATAAAGACACCTTACAAACATATGAAGTATAAATAATTCAGTCCAAAAATCTTTTTCTTAAAAAAATTGTCTTTTTTGCAGAAACAACTACAAGGAATACTCTATGGAGTCCAGGTTGCACTTCAGAATTCATGCAGCACTTGACAGCTTGAAGGTGTCACCTGCTTCTACACCTTGAATGAGGAGGGATGCTTTTCATGCACACAATAAATAGCCTACACAATCTTTTTTCAATATTTTTTTAATCATAGAGAAGAACATAACGATTGTTTTCTGTCACTTCTGATTTGATGTATGTAATTCTTTTAGACTTTTCTGTATAGCGCATATACTGTATCTACATGCTGTTTTAAAGAAGACCTTATATTTTGTTGATAAAAATAATTTAATATTTGACTTGAATGGGGGATATTTTTAAAAAAAAATGGTGATGGTGCAATAAAATGTAATGAAAATACTTTATTTTTTTTTAATATGAGAACAGATGCAGGTTATGCAGTGGAACTGGTGATAATTTCTGTATTTTATGAAAGTTTTATTTTCTGCAGTACACTTAAGACATTTTTCCCTCTGGAACAAAAATGCAATGTCTGCAGATAACCTTAACCATGTTTTTTGGTGTACCATATTCTGAAATTTGTGTTCCAGAGGAAAGAATTAGTGATTTTTAACTTAAATTTCATTTTGGGAACAAAATTAACCTGTCTGAAGTGCAATATTTCTGCTCTGTCAGATGAATCTAAGGAGGGCTTCAGATAAAGCTAAGCAGGGCTACAGTTACAATGTCTCTGCAGGTCTGTTTCAGTCAAAAGAAGGGCATACAGGGGATATTTTTCACTTGTAGAAAAGCAGAGCTACAAAGGGCATTATGTCCTTGTTCTAAAGTAGAATCAGCAGTCTTAAGTTGATCCTGACAGATTCATTTCACCTGTTTAAGAAAAGAAAAAAAACCAAAGCACTGAGAAAGTAATTTTCTAAGTTACACAAGATGGTCTTTCCCAGCGAGAAAAGATGGAGAAATTTTGCCTGATGTCTACCCCAAATAGTTCTTGACACAAATGAAACTGATTGTTTCCCAGCTTCCCTGTTGTGGATCTGGAGAAAGTACTGTTCTTTCCCTTTTTTAAGCAATCATTTAGTATTTGTAGATTAGCACGCTGGTTGGTATTCTCTGTTTTTGGATCCCAACCAAAGTAAATAAAATATTGGTGGATTTATGTATTTTCCTAATAATGAGTTAGAATTCATATTAACAGAAGTTGATTTGCATCAAAAAGTGAATCCAGTTTTAAACTTGCCATTAAGAAAATATGCATATTCTAGTCTAATTTCTACCAAAAATGCGCAGTAAAATTGAGATGCTTATAAGTGTATTTTTCTTGTCATGCTTATATGCAATCAGCACTATTAAATAGAATTTTCCATTTCCCTATGAATTTCTTATAGATACACACATCCTACCTGTCTGTTCTTAAAAATAAAAATGCATTTTTTTAAATTTACATATACACCCAGGAACTCTTCTTTCACTAGCTATTGCAAAACTTGCCATTTCCATATTTTATCCATGTTCAGTATATTTACTTCTGTGCAGTAAATTCATAATACCTAATTATGAATTACATAATTACATAATTCATGTATGTAATTTGCTGCCCTTAACTACCACCCAAGCAAAATCAGGATGAAAGAAATAGGTGAAAACTGTGTCCTTAGTAAATAAATAACTGAAGTTTCTAATTAAACAGTAATATCATTTAAATGCTATAGCACTTCTCCTCAGGTTACTGAGAACACAGCTTTCTTCTATGACTTATACATATAATAAATTTATAATAACTTATACATTTAATTGCTTATAATTCTGTAATAGAGTGGTATATTTACAGGAGAAGTAAGAGTATAAAAATATTAGCTAAATAAACATAATGGGTCTTTCAAAATGGAAACCTGATCCAAAGTGTTTCTTTGTTGAATTTGTGCCTACTGTAAATGTGTAACTTAAGTTATTGTGTAAAATTATGCACATGTAAGTTTGACACTTAAATACCCAAGACACTGAATTACTGATAAAATATGCATGTTTATTTTCAAATGTATTCAATTGACTGTAGCTAAAACTCAAAACAGAGATTAGCATATGCTGTCGAATGACTTCTCTAAAGATTTATCCATTCTTATATATATCTGATTGTAAACTGTAGTGAGCATAAACTCATATATTTTCAGAAAATACTTCTAATGTATCTGTGGGCATTGTTTGTTCAGTCTAGGATTATTTTGGTTTAATCTGATTATTGGATTAGGATCTGCTTCATTTTTCTGTAGAAGGTGATGGGAACAATTGCCAGTAAAACTTCTGTAATTTGTGTTCCAAGCAGTACTTCGGTTTATATAATTGGGACTACAGATTCTCAGGGCGGAGCGTGATGTAGTCTCTGTTGTCTTGTTTTTGAGGGGAGTGTCTTACAGCTAATATTTAGGGATGATTTGAGATAGAAATTAAAATTCACAAAAAATGAACAATTATCTTCCTTAGAAACTGATTTTTTCAAAGTTTAGAAAGCTTCAAGAAGCTGTGTACTTTTTTCCATGGGTGATGTTACTGACTGAAGAGAGAGTAAAAAGAAATATTTTATTCAGTTCAGCCTTCCAAAGGTAATATTAGTTCTGTTGTATGTTGTACTGTGTTTCTTTTGGGATCAGCCTTTTTTGCACTACTGCAGAGGACAGGCTCATCCACACAAATTTGCAGTACCCTCCATATTGTTTTGAGGACCCATTATTAAGTATTTAGAGCTTGCTTCTTTTTTGTGCTGCTGTTCCAGACTTTGCTAGAAAGATTGACTGTACAGAATTCTTACTTTAAGCTTTATTCTGAACATTTTTTTTCAAGTTATTAACAGTGGACATACAAATGTGTGAGAGTGATTTATAACCCTTCAGTTAAGGTAGGTCTCCACAGAGCTGCAAGAGATGCTTAGTTTTCCAAATGCTTCAGAAAAGTGCACGTATCCTTGACACAATACTGTGATGCAGTATTATTTAGGACATTACACCTGAGTTAACTGATTTCTGTCTAAGAGTCAGACAAAGGGTCTCTGGCTTTTTTTAAATATTTTTTTTATCTGTTGTATTCTGTACTGGGCCTTAAATACAGCTCTTAGTCTTAACTGCTGTTTATAATATTCACCGCACATGCTCATCTTCCACAGGAATTTTGAATATTGTGCTGAGACTTAATTAAGCAAAGCTGATAATTTACCTATGATGATAATAGCCTCTCTTGATAATAGTAGGAATTACAATATATACAAGAGCAAATTTAAGTTGTTAGTTTAAGTAAGAAAGGCTGAGCTTACATTATGACAAAAAGTCATTTAGTTCTTTCTTATAATAGATGTTTTGGGGTTTTTTTTAATAAGCAATAATAAATTAGCCTGGTTATAGGACAAAGCTTCTCTTTGATTAAGAATTGCCTACTTAGAAACTATTACAAAAAACTTTGTCTGTGCAAATCAATCAAATGTTTAATCTGTTGAAAGATCATTGTACTATGGTTTGTAAGTCTTTATTCATCAGAATAAAGAATAAATTTCTGTTTTTAACAGAAAGTGGAAGTGATATGTTAGAAGAAAGCTGAAGCAAGATTGTTATATATCTGTTCTAATACATATGGGGTAGCAGCTGTATGTAGCACTTTATGGCCAGAGAAATGTATAATAATCAGATCTTAGTAAGTTTGTAAAACATCTTGCAAAGTAATGTCTAAAACAAGTAATTTCTTGTAACAAATTCAACTTAGACTTTGCACTTATTTTATTACTAATCCTAATGTTTCATGTCTTTTGTTTCTGTATATTCTTACACTGCCTAGTGGAACAAAGAATGTTTATATTTGCCCTGGTGCTGCAGTCTCTTTGCTTCTAATCTACTGAGGTTTGCACATGTTCTTATCTGGTACTTGATGAATAAACGATGAGGGCAGAAAAACAGAAAATGAGGAATGAAGTGTGTTCTGGTTTAAAGAGCATATAAAAGTGTTCATTGTGATGGACTAGAATGGATTTACACTTCAGAGGAATAAATCACATATGCTTGTGCTACCAAGTGCTGAATTTGCACTGTATTCTGTTTGTACATCAAGAACCTACAGCTAAGATTTACCAAGGCATTATAATCAAAAAAAGACTGATCTCTAGTTTATAAATGCAACCTTAAGTGTAGAGCTCTTATACAACCTGTCCAGACTGAGAGGTTGTACAAAGCTGTTAAAGTCAATTGAGTAAATAAAGGATCCTTTGAATGTAGATAGCAAATGTAAAATAAGCTGTGGGGTTTCTTGATTTTTTGGGGGGCATTTGTGGTGCTACTTGTGTTTAGGAATTTTTGTGTTTTGGGTTTTGGTTTGTTTTTTTCCTTAATCTGGTAATAAATGCTATAAGACAGCTTCATGAAGAAACAGTGTGGCTCTTAACTTTACAATAGGTAGAAGAGTACCTTTCTGGAAAATAAAAGTCAAGAGTTCAATGTTGGCATAACAAATTTAATGCTTAGTGATTGCAAGACTAAATACTTTACTTTTTGTAGTAGTGTAAGCATGTACTTCCAGTCTGTAGAGGAGCACAAATCAACTAGTAATCCCAGGTAGGAACATCTTCCTAGATCTAAAGAGAGAACTCTTCAAACACATAAGCAATAGGAGATGTTTCTGTTTTCTGAGTCAGGTCTTCTGTTCCAGGAAAATTACAGTAGTTGAGACTCAATATCTGTGCCATTGAAGCATGGAAAATACTTAGTGTTCATGTCATATGACTCTGGGAAAAGTTACGGTTTTACTAAAATCCTGTCTGAGAGGTTAATGGCCTTATCTGCTTGAGCATGCAAATGTGGACCTCAAAACTCAATATTCTTACTGTACAGTGGATGTAAGAGTATATAAGGATAATTTTATCGACATGCTTAAATGGCATGTCAGTATTTACAGTCAGTAGAGTGATATGTAAAATCAGGTTAATGCTAATTATATAGCTTATATTAGGCATAACTTGTTCCCAGAGCATTAGTGATCTTCACAACTAGGCTTGGCTGTAGAAAAGAAGGCAGTATTAATTTTAAGTATGATTTTATTTTCATTACAGTTTTGCTCAAGGTTGTGGAAGTTACATCTAGGCAAAACACATTGTCTACATATACTCAGGTGCAGATATAAAACTTTCATTTGTAGCACCCCACCCCCAACCTTGATTAAATTGTTTCTCTTTTAAGAGAGGTTCTGTGTTGCATGCATGAATGATCTTATGTAAGCAGTGTTCTACAAAGGAATCTAGCTGTAGTTAAAAATTTCATATGGTGTAGAATATGCATGCTCAAGTGTTACTTGGAAAAGATGCGTGGCTCAAATCTCCAAATTCTGGTTGTACCAGTAAAGTTGCTTCAAATCCATCTGTATTAGTTTTTAAACAGGAGCATTGAAAACTTGTTGCTGACAATGAAAAGAAGGTCAGATGTTCCTTCACCTACTATTAATTAGTTTTACCCTTTGAAGAAAGTTTAGACTTTTTTTTTCTATAGTATGCATAAAATTAAAGATCAGTTTATTTTCACAACGCAAATGGAAAGTATTCCCCCTGTTGTTTACATTAATTTTATTAGACTGTTCATATGCTGTGGAAACAACTTACTTCCTTTATTGCAAGTAATAATATTAATAACACTGTAATAATTGTGTCTGCTTCATAATGAATTTTTGGTGTGGAAGCTGCTTTAAATAGATTTTTGTGATTTGAAAGAGTGGCCATAGAAGATGAACAGTTACATCAGGATGGTACTTTAAATGCAGTGTATTCTGGAGGCCTATGAGAATACATCTAATGAATATCAAATTACAGGCTATTTTTTCTACAAGCTGAGATTTTAATAGTTTAGGCAGAAAAAAAACCAAACAAAAAACCAACACCAAAAAAGAAAACAAAAAACAAACAAACAAAAAAAAAACTTTGCCTGAAAAATAAAACCTGCAACCCAAAACACTGTATGCTGTTGAGTAATAACAGTTCTTCTTATTGAACAAGTCTTTTGAGGAAATCTGTGAAAGTTTTGGTACTGGGTTCACTGCAAAATTGAATTCAAATTTTACTGAGTGACATTGGCAGAACAAAAAATGGAATTCTGGCTTCTGAAATAAGCAGTTTAATTTTCTTCAGGAATCTTACCTATGCAACTAAATATGATTAGGTCGACCAGTCTGAATATCCTCTAATGTGTCATCTGGAAATTTTATCTTGATAGACTTTGGAAACTGTTACATCCCCAGTATTTCTGTTGAATGAAACCCCAGAGAGAATTTGTCAGCATCTGTTTTCCTTCTGGAGAATTCTGCAGCTGAAAAAGGAGCTTTCCTTTTTTTTTTTTTGTTTTTTCCTTGAATTTTTTACTGATTTCCTAGGACAGCAAAGTTGGATTCCTATTCTCACCTCTTTGCTAAACTGTCTGAAATTGGTAGGAGTCTTCAAATAAAAATCTTGTTTTTCACAAATGTCTAACTCCTGGAATAATGTGCAGCTGAGATACCTGCTTGTCTTTGCTGGCTGTAGCACTTGCCCCCACTCAGATGGGAAAGAGGATACCCACTAGGAAAGGGAGAAAATGCAAGAGAAATTCATGTGTGATGGATAAGAATATGTTGGGTAGGAGTTTCTGTGGCGCATGAACAATTGATGTCATATTAGACTGTGGGACCAAATAGAATAATATGAAATGTTATCACAAGGATTGACAGAAACGTGTCTAGAAAGAGAAATTATAGTGCAGAGTACTCACTTGCTAACTAAATGGAGGCAATGTAATCCAGAGGTGTGGTGTCCTAAACAAATTAAAATCAAAAAACCCACAAACAAAAACCAAAAAGAAAACCAAACCAACGAACCAAAAACCCCCAGACTGCTCACTTTGCAACAGGGAGGACCTGCCGGGGTGTTACACAATTTCAGAAATAGCTTCTCCATCTGGAAGTTCTTAGTTACAATGTTGTTTTTGTAGCATGGCTATGACAATAAAATGAAAAATTATAACAACTGTATTGTTAACTATTATAATCAAAAGCATTGCTTGTCAGAAAATAGATCAGTGTAGCTGTAGGCTCTGTCTCCTAGCTATTTCTTAGGGAACATTGAAGGAACACTTAAACTGTCCTAACTAAGATTGGCAGCTGCTGCCCAAATTGTGTGGTAGAAGCCTGGCTCAGTAGCCCTGCTGGATCTCACAGAAGACTCTGCATTGTAACTCCTAGTCTGTATGTGCCAAACAATGCACCATTTTCTACCCAGTGTGTCCATATGGATTTCCGTGTGCTTGGTGCAACATGTCTGATCCTGTGCTGTCAGTCAGGCCCTAAGAAACAATATACCATCATCCAAGGCTTGCTTATATTGGATTGACTCCAACAGTGTTTGTGGAAACAGGTGTTTATTAACAATCATGATACTGTCTGAGCTTTTTAGGGGCCAAATTAGAACTGTTTTCAGGACCAAATTAAAGTCTCAGACTTGCATTTCGATTCCTTCAAAACCACTAAAATTTGCTCTCATAGATGCGAGAAAGGCATGTATGTTCTAAACAAAGTAAGATAAAACAGCAGTGAAAATAGTGTTCATTGTTTCTTATTTATTTACAACATGAAGTTACCTTACTGGTAGCTGACCATGAACATATGTGGCATAAAATCCCTCTTTTTTGAGACTTGAGGCACAAGTTTGAGCACTATGCAATTCAATCCAACCAGAATGCACAGAGGATAGAAATATTTGGCAGGAAAATAATTGTTACAAAACAAAATTTTGTTTGCTCAATCTTATTTTGTAGGCATCTTGTCCATATTCTGTAGCTAACAGGCCCTTCATCACTTGTAGATTTCACCCTCCTTTTGTGACTGGGTTCAGATCTGGAAAAGAGAAGCTGGGAGGGGTGGTGATCTTGCTCAAAGAAAATTTCCTGCTCCCCTGCCCCACTGCCTTTGCCCACCCTTAGCAGGACCTAGTTTATCTTGTCTCTCTTCTCCCAGCTCTCTGAAAACTCAAGCCTGCATCAGCTGGTTTCTGCCTAGCTCTCCCTCTTTGCCAGCTGAATGGGGGTGCAGACAGTGACACAGTTCAGCAGCTCACAGAGCAGGGAAATGGCGCGGCGTATTGAAGACAGATGCACCAGGGGTACCATGTAGAGCCAGGGGAGCAGCCCTTATCCTGGGCACCTGGCTTTGCCTGCCATTGGCTCACATTGCCTCTATGTGTGGAAGTGACCCTGGTTAATGGCAGCTGTACATGGTCAGCATGAGCAAGGACAAGTGAGAACACAGAGAAGATGCCAAACCCCACAAGGTGCTCTTGTTAAAGAAAAAAGCCCCAGCAAACAAGAGCCCTGTGTTCTCCATCACAGACATTGTTATTGACAGGAACATGTGCAAGAGACTAGACACTCACCAGGTCTTGGGCTGATCTGCAAACCTTAGTATGGAGCGAGCCTTCTAGCAGCTGGGGGATCACAGTCACTTCTGCTGGCCAGAGGGTGCACACTGGGAACTGGGCTAAGTGGTTTCTACGGGGAAACATTCCTCTAAGCAGAGCACCCCAGACTGGCAGTCTCTCCAGTCTTGAACTGCTGTTTTGGCACCTGCCTGGAGGTGAGGTGCATTGCAGAAGCCATTTCTCGCACTTGGAGCATTTAAAATGAGAATGCAATAGCAAAAAATGACACTGTGAGCTTGCTCAATTGCAGAGCACAAGATACAGGGTGGCCAGAACCATAGGTCAGCAGAGAAAATGAGATTTTCTGCTGAAGGTGAGACAAGCCACCATCGGTGAGAATAAACTAGTCACAGTCCTCCACCTCTGTGTCCAGGACAGTGAGAGACAGAAGCAGAGCCTGGCATGTCCCAGTTTCAGAGTCCTCAATGACAAAATGTTCATCCTTGCTGACCTGCTCACAATTTGCAGGTGGAGCTGGTTGTAATCAGAATGTTAACTGATGGTAAAAATAATAAGTACATTCATATGTGTAAGAACAGAGCCTTGAGCTTGAGATGTTCCAGACTGCTTAACATGCTGCTCAATATTAGTACAGCAGAAACTGCAGGCTTATTGTGCTGGCCCAGAATTGCAATGACTGGACAAGGACTCTGGAATAACACCTGTAATGGGATCTTGCAACCTCTTAATTTTTCTTCCCCTCTACTATATTGTTCCAGGAAAATAACTTCAATGACAAGATCAGCAGTGAAAGGCTCTATTCCTCAGGGAGGGCATTGGCTACCAGAAGCTAACCTCACTCTTGACAATACAAAAAACAAAGGATCCTGAAATTACACCAAAAAACAGAGGGCTTGCTCTTTACAGGAACTAATTGAATTGGGAATACAAAATGCTGTGGGAGTTATTTTCCAGGATATGAAATAAATAGCTGTGCCTG